TTGTTTGCTAATGACGTATTTTGGAATCGATTCTTTTCCAGAGATGGATATGACTATCAGCTCTTCCTATATGACTCATCCTGAGATGAGGCGATTTTACTGATAACATCCCAGCAACAACCAGCGTGGCAAAATAAGACTATACTAAAAAGTCAAAAGATGATTTTTTATCATTCATCGAGTCAACTATCATTGTTTTTTTTATGCGAATTATTCGTTCCCAAAGACATCTGAGGAAGCGTGTAATTTATTAAATCCCACAGTGGGCAAAACATGTATGATATTCAGCGCATCGACCCTTTAATCCTAAGCGAACGGATCATCCTTCTACACACGAAATCACAGCCTTAACGTTGCAATTCAGGCCCCGATCATTCACAGCTGAAATACGCCCATGGCAACATGAATTGAATTCGCCGACATACAATATCTGTTGTTCCTGATTTCGTCGCGAGTTTCTTACTGAGAAGCTTGATTAAAACGTCAACCGGCGCAGTTTTTGATAAAGCGAACCTCCTTTCTATTTCATCAAGCCCTGCATGTTGAGTATATGGTACGGACGTCATACATACGCATAATGCATTATGAGGCGCACATCGCCTCGTGCCGTTTATTAGTTCCAATGACCCACGTGAAATGCCGACGCCAGACAGAAATGTGATCAAATCAGAAGTCTAAGAAACTGTGTATTTGTACATACCCCCAAAAGATCATTGTGGTTATGGCCGAACTTATATTTTTACAACTGTTACAAAAAAATATATCATCATCTGTATTCAAACTTCCGAATTTTGCCATCTGCAATGTTCCCATTCTTGGCTATTGTGTGAATTGTCAGTTTCACCTCAAATTAAACTCCATGATCGTGGCGACGAGGTTTCAAGAAAAATGCCGTCATTTGAACACGGTTCACTTGACTTGAAAGTGAAAACACCGACCAACGAATCAATTCAATTAAATGCCGTCGAATCTGGATTATGTTTGAGTAGCAGCAGCCAACCTATGTTTAACTTGTCTTATTCACTCCTCGAGAAATTTAATTAATTGAGCCGGGTTCCAATGTTGATGAACGCCACTGTTTAATATGCACTTCTTCATCACACGCATTCACAATAGGACCTCAGTCTTACCACTGTCTGTACTTTGGGATCAAATCCTGAATGAACATGACATGTTTTCATGATCTACCCATTTATAATAGCAAAGTACTTTTGAACAATTTTGCTTTCTACGAGCAGGACTCAGGTTTATCTAACTAATTATGCAATGTTCAAATTGCGCAATGGGCTGAAAACGAGAACGAGTGGAACAATTAACGATAAATCCAATGAAAAAAAATTGTTCGCCTGATTATCTTGGATAGTATATTCAACTTTATAGTAGAGTGATTTTTTTTGATGGATAATGTGGTCAAATTTCCGATATTCCTCCCAAGTGTCTATATACAGAATCACTTCAAAGCAAATGCCCAATAAAAAAAAAAAAGAAATGCCGGGAATATTATTTACAGATTGTGCTTGCATTTTTCGAAATAATGTCATGGTTCAGTTTTAAATAAACTGAACTTATACTCGCGCTTCTATCAGAATGCAAACTTCGCATGTTTGACTACAGACAAATAGCCAGACTATAATCGTAACGTTTATAGAGGGCAGAACAGAATAAGACATTAGAAATTTGTTTGTCACTTGGACAAAACACATTTTTTCCAGGCTGTTTGAAATGACTCTGTGATGTGGTGACCTCATCATGACGTCACTTTAAATTTCATTCATAACAGAATCCCGGTTTAGGTACATACCAAGTTACCACCGGACCCCATTGTTCTAGAGATATAGGCCTCAGAAAAAAATGCCCCATTAATAATACGCCATGTGATTACGTAATCATGACGTTTTAATTTAACAAATCCTGGTCTAGGTACCTACCAAGTTACAACCAAGTTGGAAATACAGTTCTGTAGGTATAGACATGCACCTTTTATGTGACGTCACATAACTTGTGATGACATCATCATGACGTCACTTCAATGTTTACCTATACCACATCTGGTATAGGCACTTATCAAGTTACAACTAAATCGGACCCATATATTTCTATACATGTAGGCTTTAGAAAAAATGCCCCTTTAATATGACGCGGCATGACATGTGGTGACGTCATCATGTCGTCAGTTAAATTTGCATCTAAAGCACGTCCTTGTCCATCTACAGACACAGTTTCAACCCAATCGGACTTGTACTTCTGGAGTCATAGGAATTCAAAAAGAAATACACCTTTAACGTGATGTCACGTGACACCCGATGACATTATGGTGACGAAAATCTTCGGGGACCATCTTCGGATGGTGGTCTAAGTGTCTGTCAAGTCGATCAGATTAACGAAAACAAGAGCTTTTTCGGCTGACTTGCCGAAACGACTAATGAAATATCATCAAATGATGCTTGCTTTATGTGTGTGGGTTTTTTTTCACCAAATTTGAATTGCATATTTTTTTTTAACATTCTCGTGGGCTTGATTTCAAGGCACATTTTCTCATCGCTTCCTCCAAGGTATGGTAATTGGGGTTATGTAGATTGGCTAGATAGTGCGTCGTGTAAATAATATTAACTAACAAGGTTATCCGATTAACCGTTTGGATGATGCCCAAGGTTTCCTTCACTTTACCGCACCTTCATTTCATTATCGCTGTAATACGATGAATAATTTGAGGTTCTTGCTCCACGAATGCGTAATTATGACTCCTTTGGCACTATGACAAGCAAGGGTGCTGTCAGTGACATACAAGTGTATTATACTATATTCAAAATATAAAGTATATTGTCACATTCGTTATTGAAAGGCCCAATCCCATAACATAAGATGCCTGAGTAATTAACTATCTATACTGATTGACTGATATTATGGGACAAACTGCTCTAACCGATGTGAGCCAAGAAACCAGGAAACAAAGTTGTCAGCAAATAGCCATCCAGCATGCCAGCTAGCTCGCCTACCATAAAGTCAGTCAGGTATCCAGCTAAAGCCAATCAGACAGCCAGACCGCCCGTCAGTCGGCCAGCCAGCTGGACAGCCATCCAGTCAGCCAGATCAGGCATGCCAGCCAGCCAACTATAAGGCAGGGTCAGTCGGTCGACCAGCTGACCAGTCATGTAGCCAGCAAGCAAGCTAGTCGGTCAGCAATGTAGCCAGAAAGCCAGCAGGTAAGCTAGCTATAGCCAGCTATAGCCATCCACGCAGCTAGCAAGCATGAAGCTAACTAGCCAGTCAGTTAACCTTCCATCTAACCAGCAAACAAGCTTGGCAGCCAGCTAGCCAACCGACCGACCATCAATCCATCCATTCATCCCTCCATCCCTCCATCCATCCATCCGGGGAGCCAGGGCAGCCAGTCAGGCAGCCAGTCAGGCAGCCAGCCAGCCAACCAGCCAACCAACCAGCCCAGCCGAGCAGCTAGCCAACCAGCCAGTCAGTAAAATACATGAATGCACTCTCGCAGACATTCATAAATTAAGACTATATTAAATCTACATGCCGTATTCCATAACACTTGCATGGCGTTCCTACAAGGAAGATGTTGCATCAGTAAATCATCCGCATATTTATGTATAACTTGCGTCAAAGGAAGTAAATGATAAGGGTGAATAGTAAATCAAATATTTGTATTAATTTATTGTGAAGAGCGTCAGGAGCTTCGATTCCGAATTATGTCACAGTTGCCAAACAAAGCTTGATCATGTTATTTTAGCTGATGGATAACCATGAACTCTTAGAAAAGATTTATATAATAATACTTCATATACATGTAGGGCGCTTTCAAGGAACAAAACTTCATTCTCAAGGATTGTCCCTTAACTTTTCTATGTCTGGGTTGACAGAGAAGCTGCCCGGCAAGTTTCGATCATTTAATGCATTATTATGTAATAACTCAGCAACCTACACTTGTTTCGCAAGTACGTTCTCATTTAGGTTACAATATCGCAATTTCTTGAAAAAGAAGTAAGGAATGACTGTTCCTTTTGCTTTCATGCAGCGAACCATAAAAAGGAATATGATACAAAATGTATACAACTATTTTCCCTTATAAATGTGAACTATCAATTAGGTCCTACTCCAAGGCAGGATCCAGAACACAGTGGGTTTTTTTTTGGGGGGGGGGGGACAAACAATTTTGTTGGGGTGGTTTTTTTCCGCCCCAAATTTAATATGAAAAGCAAGGGGGATGGGCACTATAAGGACTCTTCATGGCATTGGTGCATGGTGGCGCATTTTAATGCTGTACGCAGTGGCTGCCCTTTTTGCGACGTCACTTAAAAAACAATTCCCTACTCGTCCATATAATATGGCCAAAGGAATTGATTAACCTTCGGCACGTATCTTTGGGTTGTGCGCATAGGAAAATGGCTTGCCGACAAGATTTATAATTAAGAATCTTCAAAATGATAAGATATAAATTGTCGTCTTGACGTCATAGTGCACATTATCCTAATGAGATTGCCAATCTTTAAGATTATAGGGTAGTACTTCCAGACCTCAAGGAAATGTTATAGTCTTGCGAATCTGACAAGTATACAAGTTGATATTCTGAAAAACAGAGACAGTGTTGAACGGAGACATTGCCAGCACTTTTTGAGCCTTCTACACACTCGGAACACTGTGGTTTATTATGTTGATAATAAACATGCGATGATTCATAAAGATGTCTTTTTTTAAAAATCAATTCAACCCTCATTTTGTAGCATGATTTTGTACAACTGGCACTTCCAACACCCCCAGGCCTTTCATCTTTCAAAGCCACGTATGAAACCAAATACCACATCAATAATATTTAATATTTTACCTTGACCTTCGTAACACTATTATATGCGATGAATTGCATTGTATGTTTAATGTAATGCAACGGCACTCTATAAACTGTTTCTTATGCAGGATGTAGAATTACCGTGCGTGATATTTCGGATTTTAATTTTAGATAGTGTATAGAAAATGGTTTTACTAACCTGATAGCCTTGTAGGCTGAGTATAAGCAGGCAGCTACGAAACCAAAAGCAGCAGCAGAGCCGATCACCACGCCTGCAATGAAGCCAGCGTCACCCATATCTGTTGGCTCAGGGTGAGGCGGGTTTTATAGGGACTCCCCCCGGACCGGGCGCCGCCACTGTAAGACCCACGGAGTTAATCCACGAGACGATGATGAAAATGACAAGGAGGAATAACAACAAAATCCAGAGGGGGAGGTTAAACCTGGGTGTAAACAGACGGGGTGATGGCAGTTGACGCAAAGAATGAAATACTGGATGATGGGATGGACTACTGTGGACCAGTCACGCGTCCCTTGAGCGTGGTTAGGGACAAAGATACTGAGATTACTTGGTGACTTGCATGACACCGTGGAGACACCTCTATATCCTCCATACCAAAGTGTGAATAGTGACGAGCACGACTGACGCTGAGGGGAAGAACTCAGGTAATTAACTGGGATAACACGTAAGATGCACTGCCACGTGAGCCGACGGCTATAGTTTGTTTATTCCTTGTGTTCAAATACCACGCCAAGACAAGATAATACCTAGAAACGAGTCTCCCACGATACATGGAGTGCCACGCAGGTCTCCTGCAGAAAATTGAATTTTTGTTTGAGTAGCCGAAATGTGCCTGTGCCCGAATGCGAAATGAGGCCGCCGGTAAATCCCAGAGAAATCAAGTGTAGACAATCAGCCTTGCCCTGTGTTATGAAGAGCTTCACTGTCCATCAAACAGGTATTACGCGCATAACGAATTGTCATAACATTATAAGACTAGCCGTGAGATGCGGGATCTGTAAGAAGGCTTACTCAGTTAATGCACGAATACACTGAGCAACGTCATCACACGATGTGAAACTGCACGCACACGCGGAGCTTGGGAGTGCGGATGATGGTATATCAAAAGCTTGCTATCGCACCCTGATAGCAGTGAAAATAACAGCAGTGCATTAATTCCACATTACCAATCATGTGTGTGGGCACCTTTCGCTGTATGCTGCTCCGAGCGAGCCGCGTTTTCTGCTCAAATTCCCCTCTGGGTTAGGTGGCATATACGGAACCCGCTGCATAATCGAGCTTGAGTGACTGTATTCCGCCGAGTGTATGCCGCATGCCTTCGGGCAATGAAATTTAAAATGACTGGGTGTAGCGCGCGGCACGCTAATTCACAATGCGAACCTTAAGGGTATGGGTGGCACCGCGTATATAAAGAGGTACAACATCTTAATGCACTCTACAGCAGACAGCGGGGAAACAGGAGGCAGGAGGACGGCATGATCGAAAGAAATGAGTACTTCATTTACTATTCCCGGATCGCACTGCCTGTAGACCCTTGATATTTGAAATCGTCTCAAATTCAACAGGTCTCTTCGTGTAGGCACTGTAAGCCGCTTGCGTTAGGAACGTCAAACTATTGATCGGATCGGTCAACTCAAGAACAAATGGCTGAGTGTTGATAGCATAAAGTAAGATATATTGCTGGGTTACAAATTTATGTTTGTTTTCTTTGGATCCTCAAAGAATTCCACACATTCCGTATATCCTTGGATAAATTATTTACTGTCGTTTTGTAGTCAGCTTGCCCCCGCAATTCCCGAAGCCAAAAGCTTCTTTGCTTACAATATATAAGAGTTAAACTTCAAATACTCAATATACCAAAATAAAGTCGAGTTAATTGTAAAAACACTTCTCACTGCATCGAGCTGCATGCACGTTGCGAAGTCTTCGGTTTCACCAATGGCACCGTTTGAAACCCGGTGCTTGTTGCTTGTACATGACGACAATCAGCGAACGGCATTTGGTGAAACAGTGTTTGAAGGGTAAGTTAGAAGAAGAGTTTACGCAAAGCTGATTTTACACCTACGCACAAAGGACAACACCAAGGCAATTTACAAAGACAGATGGCATTATTCTTCGTCACGAATTCACCCAATATACGTCGCACAATTACTCGTCATATCGCAAATGTAAAACGTATCAAGAAAGATCACACCAACACATAGGATGTTTGTTTTCATACACTTCACGTGGATATTCCTAACACGTTCAAAAACGTCAGCAATTGCACTACACATTTTATTAAAGTGAAAAAAGTGAATTTTTGACCTTGATTTCCTTCAATATTCTACTCATTTTGCCGCTACGGATAACCAGAAATTGGAAAACATTGTGTTGACCTGGGCAAGTCCACGTAAAGTTGTAAGTTTCTGCATCGTGTTGACCTATCTTTTGTTCACATGGGCCAACTTAGTGACGCAATGCCTGTACCTACATTTTCCAACAATCGTTGCGTTATTGTTACGTTTGTGAGTACTTTTATAGGATATCACCAATAGCTCACCCTAATAAGTGACCAATTAATCGTAGAGTTAATGTTGTTTTAAAACGAAATATGTATGATGGTTTGGCCAGCTATTTATATCATAGGGAAATTGCGGCCTGAAATCCGCGATTTTATTCTTTAGATTGTTTACTTATCCCATTTCGAAGGTGCGGTTGAAAGGAAACTAACCTACGTCCCAGTTATTTACTCCCAGTTAAATCCCAGTTATTTACTCAAGTTCTGACGCCGGCGTACACGCACACGTATTTCCAGCCATGTCCATTCAATGTACGGTAAACGTTGTGTGTGACAATAATACACACAGTACCAATACACAAATGTTGTTTCTCGCACGTCCGCAGAATGTTCTGGTGGAATGTGTGCGGCAGGATTCACGACTAACATCCAACAGCTCGATGTTTGGGAGTCAAAATGTTGACCCCCGATGTCCGTTTCGCATTAATGACACAAAACGCCCAGTTTTTAAAGGATGGTTGTGTGAACGTTTATATCCTACCTTTAAATGATCTTCCAATTGACATCAAAACGCGTTTTGTAGCCCAAATGGGCGGTTATGTCCCTTTGAACTACGACAGAGCAATTGATTTTACGTTTTATGAAGTTATTGTGGCTTAAAATTGGTAAGTGGGTGTTCAGTGAAACTATTGAATTTGTCACTGACTATTCATGTGAGGTGTATATTTGTTCATGTTTTTTTTTTCACTCTTTGCCAACAGAAACTACTGCCCTATTTATTGCGGAAGCAGGCCTGCATTTGTTGCCATGCTAAGCATCGAGCACGTACCATCTTCATCTCCAGTCCTCACCACCCTGTCTCGTTTGACGATGGTGAGTCACTCAGAAGACAGCTCGTGTGTGTACCGACGGAAAACGTGACCCGTCAGAGAGACTTGGCTATATAGCCCTAATAATAATAATAATAGAAAACAGACATCAAGACTGAAGTTGCACTGTCGCGTTGCCCATCAACACGACATAAATACGTTGTCACGTAATGTTGATTAAAAGTGTACATGTCTTGAGCACCTACGATAACTAGCGAGGAACTACATTGGCCATGGAAGTGACGCAAACGCGTTGTTTGAAGATCTTAACTACAAACACCAAAAGTGCACAAGCCTTGCATGAATAACTCATTTCTCTTTGCCTTCACTCACGCGTAAAAGACATTGAATCGCACACGTTTATTTCATCTATGTCACAATTCATGACTCCCGAATAAAATCTTGTCGGACAGGAATACACGGACGGGCAAATACTGACTGCTCTTACAAAATTACCATTTGAAACCGGAGGCTAGTTTTGCGTATAAGTATGTCACCTATTTTATGTTTACCAAGTCATGAGTTAAGTTCTGCGAGTCCATCCCATCCTTTTTATACGACCCTTCTGATTGTTGACTGAGCCACATAGCAGTGACATCACATGTATCCTCTCTCTGCCTTAGCTTGCTAATTCACGCTGAATCTCACGTCATGCTCTCGGGACGAGATAAGGACCTGCTCTGGCCAATCTTTGATAGATCTGACTGTCGTGCCGTCAGGAGGCCGATGTAATCGGTCTAATTGCCGTGTCTACGCGCTGCTCACGTAACACCGCTGCTGCTCCAGTCATGTCAACAGCATAACTAGCATCAAAACAAGCCTATGTACACATACAAAAATCACTGTTAAGTCAGATTTGACTGGAAATCAGTTAAACTTGGATGTAGGCTCTTGGGGTCAGCTACACGAACATAGGCCTTTAGGCATATAACGATAATTATGTGCAGTAGTGATATTTGTTGGAGAATCTATTGTCTATTCGAAAGCTAAAGAGATTATTTGGGGGGGGGGGGGGAATTCCCATGAACCGGTGAAAGCAGCCAGTATTTTGACTCTTATTTCAAATTATGACTGTCGTTAGATGAAATCAAACAACAGGTAATTTACGTGAAAACTAAATGGGCAAGCTAGCCTTATGCGACTGAGTCTGATTTTCAGACATTGTTACTGCAGAAAGCACTCGAATAAAGAAAAAAGAGTTAACAAAACCTTCATGATGAATCTCTATAACGATCGAGCAGTCGGTGACTTTACTTTTTTTGCAATATTTTTGATACGTGCAGACAAACTTGTACCTGCCCGATGATTATAATTGCGATCATCAGGTGTGTTACAATTCATATTTCGTGAGTTATATCATGCAATGTCACCAAAGTGTTTATCATACGAAAACTACAAAAAATACCTTTTGGACTATAATTTAGAACAAACGCACTGATTTGCTGTGTGCTTTCCGAAGTTTATAACGGGACGCCGTGTGCGTGCTTATGGTACATACCCGTACCAAACATGCACAAAACAGAGGAATGTTAGATAATAGGCACTCAATATGCAAGCTGTTCTCGCTTGGAAATTGTGTACAAATCAAAAGTGAGTTTTTGCGAAAGTGTAAACAAAAGAAGTCAGCATAACAACAATGGGTTGATACAGTAAACCAATCCCGGGACATACCGTTATTTCGTTTTACCGTTTTGGATTTCCTCAAAAACAAAAACAGTAAACGCACCGTTGACCGTTTTTTCGTTTTACAGTTTTGTAAAACGGTCAAACGGTATTAGGTCACAAAAAACAATGACCTTTTTGTTGTTTTTCTTAATTGTTGAAAGCGATAAATGGTTAGTTGCTTCATTTCAGAGTGTTGTTTTACAAGAACATGACAATGAAAAACGGTCAATAGTCCTGTCGACCATTTTATGATTTAGGTTCGGCAATTAAGCAATACACCTTAATGTTAATGCGTCCTCATGGGATCCTCATGGTCCTCATGGGAACTCCAATTTCCTTCAAATATCTGCAACTTCTTCAAACGTATTACCATCCTGTATCCATTGTAAAAAGTAACGTCCTCCCTTGAAGTTTTCCAGCGCCATTTTTGCTTGCAACTCTTAAGCCCCACCAACTGAATCGCGTGAGAAAGGGGTCAGGGTCACGCCAGGAATCATCACACCACGCATTATGCCGAGGTAACACTTTTTCATGTAAAGCATGTTCCCCCCACCCCCCTTGCCCAGCACCACAAAATGCACCACGGACTGTTCACTATGACACTGAAATAAAAAAAAACAGTCTGTATTCAATACTGACCGTTTTGCTGTTTTTCAAAGTTATTTGTGTAAAACTGTAAAACAAAAATCATTGATCGTTATGCTGTAATGAATTTTATTAAACTTATAAAACAGAGAAACCGTATTTATCTTAATACCGTTTGACCGTTTTACAAAACTGTAAAACGATAAAACGGTCAATGGTTTGTTTACTGTTTTTGTTTTGAGGAAATGCAAAACGGTAAAACGAAATAACGGTATGTCCCGGGATTTAAACCCCGCCCCATGGTGTTTTGATCAACAAAGCCATGATTAATGTCCGAAATGCGTGCACAAACGTCCGACATGTGTGAACGTGCGTATGTGGAACATGCAGTGTGGCATGGGAGGCGTAATATGTTG